TGTGCAAGAAGTCTTGCGCAAGAAAACGTCCCCGCTGCCATGTGCGCGCTGTGCTTTTGCACAAGAGCTCCCATGGCAGTGTGGACGCTCTCTTGTGCAAGAAAGCTCCGACGGCCATTTTAGCCATAGGGCTTTCTTGTGCAAGAAATCCCTGCCGAGCGTCCACACTGCCCTCTTGCGCAAGAGCTCCGGCGCAAGAGGGCTTACACCTGTTAGAAAAGAGCGTAGCCCTTGTGCAAGAAGCCCTCTCTTTCCACGCCGTACTGTACATTTCCTTGCGCAAGAGCGGGCGGGCAGTGTAGACGCTCTGCGGATTCTTGCGCAAGGACGGTCGTACTTGCGGAAGAAGCCGCGAGTGTAGACGTAGCCCTGGTGTCCCGTTGGCTCTCCTCCACTGGTTTGGTACAGAAGCTGATGTAAAGGACGGGCTGGAAACCACAGTTAGTAGCTCAGCCCTCCACGTTTCAGGTTCCTCACGCCGCTGGGTGAACGGTATGTAGCTTTGCTGACTTGTTACTGTTTAGTTTGTCAGTTTGTCTCCAAGTCTCCCCGAATGAGACCTCCTCTGTCAGCCACCCTGGGCGTTTACAGAGTGCCACACACCATGGAGAGCTGAACGTATCCCTCCTTTTCTTACTAATCAACTGTAATTTGTGAATAGATACAAATGCACAGAGCAGCAGATTCCGCTGGGACTCAGCCCTGAGCCCAAGCGTTCTGAGGGCTCTTTGGGAAGGTCCCTTAATTACTGTTTACATCTGAAGCTGTAATCGTTTGTCTCCAGCCTGTTTACATTTAGATGCCACTTGTCCCTTAGGGGCTGAGCGAACCACAACGGGACAACACAGAGCTGGGTTATAACCAGTGCCCAGCCCTGTGCCAGCTCTCGGCGAGGGACGCTGCTGCAGACGCTGGGCTGAGAGAGGTGCAGGACGCAGCTGCCTGAGGGGGGTTCCAGGGAAGACACATCCCTCTCAGCACTCACAGGTACCAGCTCTGGCTGCGGAGCTTCCTGGCTCCACAGCCCCAGGGCAGCGTGGGTGTGAGGGGCGGAGAGTCGGTCTGGGGCCCTTTGTGCTCTGCAGAGCCAGGAAACATAAGATCAGAGAGTCAAGTCCGGGTCCCTGAACTCATGGCAGGACCCATCATCATCTGGACGATCCCTGACAGGTGTCTGTCTAAACTGCTCTAAAAAGTATTTCATGATGGTGATATCTAGGGAGGGGTGGAATCTCCATCCCTAGAGCTCTGTAAGTCCTGGCTTGACAAAGCCCTGGCTGGGTTGATTGAGTTGGGTTGGTCCTGCTTTGGGCAGGGGGCTGGACTCAGTGACTCCTGAGGGCTCTTCCAGCCCTGGGGTTCAAGGATTCTATGACCCTCGTTCACCTAAGCTCCCTCCGGCCGATGATACCCGTGTCAAGGCCAAATACGTAGAATCCACAGCTTCCCTTTGCAGTTTCTCCCAACAGTTCTTCACCCTCAGCACTAAACACTTGGCCCTCGTTTCCAGCTGGGATTAGTCTGGCTTCAGCTTCCAGCCGTTAGGTCTTCTGCCTTTCTCTGCTAATTCCCAGAGCCTGCTGTTACCAGCAGATTTCTCCTCATGAGAGTCTTGCTCTATCTTTTTTTTCCTGAATATAAACAGCTGGATCTCCTCCGGTCTCTCGCGCTCTGCCATTTCCTCAAGTGGGGAATCATTTTTAGGACTCATTCCTGCACCCTCACCAAGGGTTCAACATTCTGTGTGAAACGTGGACCCGCAGGCAGTGACGGTCAGCAACGCCACGTGCCGGGGTAAAGCCTTAGCCTTCCTGCAATGCGCCGCTCCCCTGTTTATGCACTGTAGGTTCGCTTCAGCCATTTTGGCCACAGCCAAAAGGATAGTCAAGACAGAAGCAGACTGTGAGGGACTCCAAGAAGATCTCACCAAACTGAGTGATTGGGCAACAAAATGGCAAATGAAATTTAATGTGGATAAGTGTAAAGTAATGCACATCGGGAAAATAACCCCAACTATACGTACAGTATGACGGGGGCTAATTTGGTTAGGACAAATCAGGAAAGAGATCTTGGAGTTATTGTGGACAGTTCTCTGAAAACTTCCACACAAAGTGCAGCGGCGGTCAAAAAGGCAAATAGGATGCTAGGAATTATTAAGAAAGGGATAGAAAATAAGACCCAGAATATCTTACTGCCCCTGTATAAAACTATGGTATGCCCACATCTTGAATACTATGTGCAGATGTGGTCTCCTCACCTCAAAAAAGATATTTTGGCCTTGGAAAGGGTTCAGAAAAGAGCAACTAAAATGATTAGGGGTTTGGAACGGGTCCCATATGAGGAGAGGTTAAAGCGACTGGGACTTTTCAGTTTAGAGAAGAGGAGACTGAGAGGGGATATGATAAAGGTCTATAAAATCATGAGTGGTGTAGAGAGGACGGATAAAGAAAAGTTATTTATTAGTTCTCATAATAGAAGAACTAGAGGACACCAAATGAAGTTAATGGGTAGCAGGTTTAAAACTAATAAGCGAAAGTTCTTCTTCACACAGCGTGTAGTCAACCTGTGGAACTCCTTGCCAGAGGAGGCTGTGAAGGCTAGGACTATAATAGAGTTTAAAGAGAAGCTGGATAATTTCATGGAGGTTAGGTCCATAAAAGGCTATTAGCCAGGGGATAAAATGGTGTCCTTGGCCTCTGTTTGTCAGAGGCTGGAGAGGGATGGCAGGAGACAAATTGCTTGATCATTGTCTTGGGTTCACCCTCTCTGGGGCACCTGGTGCTGGCCACTGTCGGCAGACAGGATACTGGGCTAGACGGACCTTTGGTCTGACCCAGTACGGCCGTTCTTATGTTCTATGTTCTTATGTAGCTCTCAATCAGCGGGCTGCCCACAGTGACCACTAAATCCTTCTCATGCCCCCTCCCTTCGATAGCAGAGAGCCCATGTCTGTGCATCAGGCCTGCAGCCCCTGCTCACAGACATTATTAAAGCTCTTTTTATTTGACATGGGCTCAGCCCACCAAATGCTCCCTGTCAGCCGGACTGCCTGCCCTCGCGTCTCTTTGTATCCACCCGGCCAGTCTTTGGGTAGTCGGCAAATGGTGCCTGCAGTGGGATTCTTTCACTTCCAGAAGCTACATGGAATTATTCCACAGCTTCCAGCCAAGAACGAATCCCTTCCGATCCCCACTAGAAACTGGCCGATTAGCTGACAACAGCCAATTGACAACACGTTCTGGAGATCTGTCACCTACCTTTTAGCATTTTTATTGTGCTCTACTTACTCTATGTAGTCTACATTATTGATCTGAATGCTTCCGCCACTAAATCAAACGCAGAGAAATTAAAGTTTATCGCAGCTGCAAAGTTCCTTCCTCAACCAAACATGCTCTCTCGTTAAAGGATGAAATCGGGTTTATTGGACAAGATCGGTTTTCCATCAACCATGCTGTTGACCAGCATTAAGGATTTTCCTACTTGAACTAATCCCATATCAGCTTTCCCATTGTTTCCCACCCTTGCCAAATCTTTTGTTTAAACACCTCCTTCATGTTTTTAATAATGTACATGTAACATGGGCCTGTCCGCTTTTGTCTGTTTCTGCTGCTGCCCCCTCTTGTACTTTGTGGTTGACTAATTAGTTCGTGACTGATGGGTGGTTGATCGGTCAGTTTGTAACTCTGGAGGTTGTGAGTGTAAGGTTCCACAGCAGACACTGCTGAACACCCTACATCACTGCTAAAGGACTCATTTCGCATGACCTCCCCATTCAGTTTCTTTCTAAATGCAGAACAAACATATTTCTTGAACACAACCACCTCTTGTGTGACATTGACAAGTTTCCTTTCCTCCTCTAAACATTCACCTAACCCATTTACGGGATTTCTTTTCTCCCTCTCGGACGTAACACCCTCCTTTTTGCTACCCTTAGTCCTGGCACGCAAGGGTTTTCCCCTGCTCTCTTTAATGCCCTTTATCATTATTCACAATTTCCAAACTGTATTGATGGCTGTCTATTATCCATTTTCCCTATCTGCTATATACTGCTGTTTCTCCCCCAATTGTTGCTGTCACTTTGCCAGTGAACCAGGGTTTGGGCCAAACTAGTCCATGCTCTTGAGTGTGGGATTGCAGCTTTTTAGCTCCCTATTAGCCTCTCCCTGAGAACTCTTGGTTTTCTTTTCCACTTTTCTGTCTGAATGTTTCCTCCCAATTCGTTTTGCTGACACATTGCCTGAGCTCTCCTACATAAGAACATAAGAACGGCCGTACTGGGTCAGACCAAAGGTCCATCTAGCCCAGTATCCTGTCTACCGACAGTGGCCAGCACCAGGTGCCCCAGAGAGGCAATAATCAAGCAATTTGTCTCCTGCCATCCCTCCGACAAACAGAGGCTAAGGACACCATTTCTATCCCCTGGCTAATAGCCTTTTACGGACCTAACCTCCATGAAATTATCTAGCTTCCCTTTAAACTCTGTTATAGTCCTAGCCTTCACAGCCTCCTTCAGACATCAACTTTGTTTTGCTTTGGCCATGATTGTAAACAAGTGGCTACAGGTGACAGTGTTGAGAGCAGCTACAGGTGATGCTCAGGTCGTTTCCCTGAGGCATATTCTCGTTTGGATGATCCACACTCGTGTTTCCTGCTGGTGCCTGATTACAGGCACCCACACAAATCCATGTAGGAATTGTTGATGTCTGCAGCACTGTGAAATATGGAATTGGCATAAGTAGGGTCAGTTGTTCACCATTCATTTCTCTGAATAATACAACAGGTCACTTTCAGGGGGTGCTAAATGACCAGTCAGTCTGCTCCCATGAAGACAGTCTCCAGTTTTCATTGAGTGTCTCATATAAGCACTGTCTCTCTATCCAGGTGTTTCCGCTGTGACCATCACCCTAAATTCTGGGGCACACACCGGACATGAGGGGAACGTACAATACATGCAGGAAACACTCTTCTGCTTCCGAGTTGGACATCTCCTCCCCTACGCCATGTCATACTCCAACACAACCCTCTTCATCAACCCCTCCTCCTTCATTCTGCTGGGCATCCCTGGCCTGGAGGCAGCCCACGGCTGGATCTCCATCTCCTTCTGCGTCATGTACATGATAGCCGTCTTGGGGAACGTCACCATCCTGTTCATCGTGAAGAGGGAGCCAAGTCTTCATGGACCCATGTACTATTTCCTCTGCATGCTGGCCATCACCGACCTGGTCCTGTGCACATCCATTGTGCCCAAAATGCTGAGCATCTTCTGGTTCAACTCCAGGGAGATCAATTTCAGCGCCTGCCTCACCCAGATGTTCTTTGTTCACTGCTTCTCCACTGTGGGCTCAGGGATCTTCGTGGCCATGGCGTTGGATCGCTATGTGGCCATCTGCAACCCCCTGAGACATTCCACCATCCTGACAAACCGCATGGTGGCCAAGATTGGCCTGGCCGTGCTGCTGCGTGGTGGCCTGCTCCTACTGCCCTATCCCTTCCTGGCGAGTCAGTGGCCATATTGCAGAACCAACATCATCCCCCACTCGTACTGTGAGCACATCGCCGTGGTGAAGCTGGCCTGCGCCGACATCCGCGTCAGTAGCTACTACAGCCTCTCTCTGGCAATCTTTCTGACCGGCATGGATGTGTTTTTCATAGCAGCATCCTATCTCCAGATCCTCAGGGCCATTTTCAGCCTTCCCACCAAGGACGCCCGGCTCAAGACTTTTGGGACCTGCGGCTCCCACCTCTGTGTCATTTTAGTTTCCTACATCCCAGCTCTCTTCTCGTTCCTCACGCACCGGTTTGGCCACAATGTGCCCCTGCATGTCCATATTCTTATCTCCAATGCGTACCTACTTGTGCCTCTCATGCTGCACCCCCTCATCTTCGGAATGAGAACTAAGCAGATCCGAGACAGGCTGATCCGACTTGTTATTCTGAAAGGGACCAAACTTTTCTCCTGATGCTCTGGCTCTGTGAGGTGTGTCTACACTACATGGCTCCGTCGGCAGAGCCGTGTAGATGAGCTTTGTAGACCTAGCATAACGAAGCGGCAATTTAAATTGCCTTTACCAAGAGCCTTTATCAACCGCCCTGGTAAACCTCATCCCACGAGGCATAATGGGGCGGTTGATAAAGCTTTTTGATGTCAACCGCCGAGCATCCAGACTACTGCGCTGTGCCGCCACACAGCTGATCGGCACAGCGCGGCAGCCATTTTGATGTAAATGAAGTGGCGATTATTTAAATCGCCACTTCATTTTGCTATGTCTACTAAGCTCATCTACATGGCTCCGTCGACGGAGCCAGGAAGTGTCGACCTACCCCAACTGAGCTCCTTTCAGAGCTGCTGCTGCTGTGTTACCAGGATCTCTGGAGAGTTAGGCTGTCTACACCCAGTTATTTCAAAAAAATGATTTCAATAACTCCTCAATAGCTATTTTGAAATTAGCATATTCCCCTTCACAAGCAGGAGTTCTTCTTTCAAAACACCAAGCTTGGCAGTGTGGACACTCGCCTTGTTACTTTGAAATAACTCCCCAGTGTAGCCATGGCTTTACAGGGACATTAAAACGTACTGACCTTACTGATCTGTCTTAGAATGGGCGACTACAGAGTCACTCTATGGACACTTCATTCCAGGGGCCACTTAAACTCTTGAAAACTCTAGTTTCGTGACATAGAACTTAGCAATCAGCCGAGAGTGGCTCTGCAGGGGCCTGTCTACACTAGGACATTATTTCAAAGTAACAAAATTCAAAATAAGAACTCCTGAAATAATTCTTTTGAAATGAACTTATTCCCTGAGGAAAGCAGGAGTGCAGATTTTGAAATAACCAGCCAGTTATTTCGAAACAATCGACTTGGTCGTGTGGACACTCTGCTTATTATTTCGAAGTAAGACGGATCATTTCTAAATAGCTCCCTAGTATAGACCAGGGCCATCTTATTCCTGTCTAAGGGTGTGTCTAAAATACATGGCTCCGTCAATGGAGCAATGTAGATGAAGCTCATTGGCAGAGGGAAATGAAGCTGTGATTTAAATAATCGCGGCTTCACTTAAATTTAAATGGCTGCCGCGCTCTGCCAACCAGCTGATGATCAGCTGTTTGTCGGCAGATCGGGGCAGTCTGGATGCGCCGCGGTCGACAAGGAAGCTTTTGTCGACTGGTGCAGGTAAACCTGCTTTACAAGGCATACCTGCATGAATTTCTGGAACTGCTTAAAACGGAATACTATTCCGTTTTCAGTTTTTCCAGAAAAGGAGCGTCTACATTGGCAGGCTGCTTTTCCAGAAAAGCCCTTTTTCCGGAAAAGTGTCTGTGGCCAATGTAGACGCGCTTTTCCGGAAAAGAGCCCCGATCGCCATTTTCGCGATCAGGGCTTTTTTCCGGAAAAGACTACTGGGCTGTCTACACTGGCCCTTTTCCGGAACAGTGTTCTGGAATAAGGACTTATGCCCGAGCGGGAGCAGAATAGTTTTTCCGGAATAGCGGCTGATTTTGTACAGTAGAGCATCGTTGCTTTTCCAGAAATTCAAGGGCCAGTGTAGACAGCTCGCAGCTTATTCCGGAAAAGCAGCTGATTTTCCGGAATAAGTGGCCCAGTGTAGACACAGCCACTTTGTATTAACTCTGTGGAGAGAGAGACCCAGTTAGGACTTCTGGGTTCTGTTCTTAGCTTCTAGAGTGGAACGGGGTCTAGTGGGTTCAAGCAGTGGCAGATTCACCAGGGACCAGAATGGCCATACTGGGTAGGACCAGTGGTCCATCTAGCCAGTATCCAGTCTTCCAAGAGTGCCAAACGCCACGTGCTTCAGAGGAAATGAACAGAGAACACGGCAAGCAACAAGAGAGTGATTTCTTATTGGGCGCTCCCAGCTCCTGGCAAACAGCCCAGGGACACCGCCCCTACCCATCATGGCTAAGAGACATTGAACTATGAACTTATGTAGAACTTATTGAAACCGTGTTTTCTTTTTGGCCTTCACAAGATCCCATGATGCAGGTCCACAGATTGACTGTGATGAAATACTTTGTTTAAAAGCTTCTGCCTATTCATTTCATTGGGTGACTCCTTGTGCTTGTGTTCTAGGCAGGAGTAAACACATTTTCCTTATTCAGATTTTCCCCACTATTTGTGATTTCGTAGACCCCCCTCAAATCCCCCCTTAGCTGTGTCCTCTCCAAGATGAGAAGAACTTGTCGTGTTAATCTCACCTGATATATAAAGTGTCCCATAGCCATCATTGTGTTGCCCTTTTCTGTACCTATTTCGATTCCAAAGTATTTTGAGTTGCAGGTACCAGAGCTGCATTCAGTATTCAATCGGAGTGTACTACTAATTTATATGGAGACAATTTGCTTTTTTTCTCCTTATCTCTCACTTTTAAAAAAAAAAGGTCCCAGCTTTCTCTTAGCTGTTTTGATTGCTGCTGCACATTGAGCCAATCTTTAACACCAGTAACTCATAATTCATTGTACAAACCGTCTGCTTCCATATGTCTTTGGGTTTTCCTGTACTCTTTGCTCATCTTCCCCGCACTCAGAGGCAGGAGAACAGGGCAGGGACATTGGATTGCACATAGGTTGGCCACTGAAGAAAGGAGTCACTGAATTCTAGAGAGAACCAGTTTTCCCCAGCCCTTTAAAAGCTCAGACATTGAACGTGTCAGAAGATGTGGGGCAGGAGTAAGACATGCAGATGAGAGGGGCTCTTTGGGGGCAGGGTTATGGCTGTAGCAGAGACACACTCCAGCTGCAGTAGAACTCAGGACTCGCAAGAGGTGGCTGCTGGACATAGAGGGTGCTCATCAAGTTCCAAAGAATAGTGTGTGGGACCCAACACAGCCGTCTGGCCGATGTCCAGCTGCAGGAGCTTGAGCGAGGTGGAAACAGCAAACCTGGAGCTGTTACAAGGACCCTCAGAGACTGTGGGCAGAAGTTGTTGGTCTGGGCAGGGCAAGGATGTTCTCTTATCCAAATGTGTCTCCTCTACCCTTGCTGTGTCCCTGAGGTGCTCTGGTTTCTGGGTCTCTCCTGAAAGGAATGTTTCCTCAACAAGCCTGGGCCAGCAAGTGCATAAGAACAAAACACAAAAAAGGCCAGACTGGGTCAGACCAAAGGTCGATCTAACCCAGTATTCTGTCTGCCCACAGTAGCCAGGTGCCCCAGAGAGAAAGAACACAACAGGTAATCCTGACGTGATCCCTCTCCTGTCTTCCATTTCCAAACAAACGGAGGCTAGAGCCACCATTCCTACCCATCCTGGCTAATAGCCATTGAGGGACCTAATCTCCATGAATTTAGCTAGTTTTTTTTTAAACCCTGTTAAATCCTGATCTTCAGAACCTCCTCTGGCAAGGAGTTCCACAGGTTGACTGAAAACGTCCTTTGTTTGTTTTAAACCTGCTATCTCTTCATTTCATGTGGTGACCCCTAGTTCTTATGTTATGGGAACAAGTAAATAACTTTTCCTTATTCATTGTCTCCACAACTGTCATGATTTTATAGACCTCTATCATATCCCCCCTCCTTCTCCTCTTTCCTCAGTTGACAAGTCCAAGTCTTTTTAATCTGTCTTCACACAGGACCCGTTCCAAACCCCCAATCATTTTTGTTACCCTTTTTTAACCTTTTCCAATGCCAAAATAGCTTTTTTTTGTCAGCAAGTGGACAGGAAGATTTCTCTCTGTCTTGGAAAGTCTCCCCAGCATGGCAGAGTCAGGGAATCCCCATTCTTCTCTGAGTGCTTATTCATGTCCATTCCCAATAAGGTGTCTGCTTGCTCATGGGTACAGGCGGTGGATACATCTTCCTTTGGACTGATGCTGAAGGCTCCATGTGCCTCAACACCTCCATGAATCCGATCATGGAACTTTTTTCTTTTTGTAAATAAATCTTTCGATTTTACACACAAAAGGATTGTCAACAGTGTGATTTCCAGGGAAGACCTGAGCTGTGTATTGACCTGGGCATGTGGCTGACCCTTTGGGATCAGAAGAACCTATTATTTTCTGACACAGGTCGTAAGGAACCGCTCGTCTCTGATACCAGTGTTTTTGATGGTGTTACTAGACTAGAACGCCACAGAAACGACTTGTAAGACGTCTTGCTATCCCGTGTGGTGAAACAGGAGTTATTTTAGGGTGCATTAGCAGGAGCACGGCCAGCAGATCTAGAGAAGTGATTATTGCCCTCTATTTGGCACTGGGGAGGCCACATCTGGAGTATTGTGTCCAGTCCCATCCCACCCCACTACAGAAAGGATAAGCACAAAATGGAGGACAAGGACAGTGATGAGGGGACTGGAGCCCATGACATACAAGGAAAAGCTGAGGGATTTGAACTTATTTAGTCTGCAGAAGAGAAGAGTGAGGGGGGATTTGAGAACAGCCTTCAACTCCCTGAAGGGAGAATCATAGAATACTAGGACTAGAAGGGACCCCTGCCCTCATGGCAGGACCCAGTACTGTCTAGACCATCCTTGATAGACATTTATCCAACCTGCTCTTAAATATCTCCAGAGATGGGGATTCCACAACCTCCCTGGGCAATTTATTCCAGCGTTTGACCACCCTGACAGTTAGGAACTTTTTCCTAACGTCCAACCTAAATCTCCCTTGCTGCAGTTTAAGCCCATTGCTTCTTGTTCTATCCTCAGAGGCCAAGAGGAACAAGTTTCCTCCCTCCTCCTTATGACACCCTTTTAGATACCTGAAAACGGCTCTCATGTCCCCCCTCAGTCTTGTCCTTTCCAAACTAAACAAGCCCAATTTTTTCAGTCTTCCCTCATAGGTCATGTTCTCTAGATCTTTAATCATTCTTGTTGCTCTTCCCTGGACCTTCTCCAATTTCTCCACATCTTTCTTGAAAGGCCGAGCCCAGAACTGGACACAATACTCCAACTGAGGCCTAACCAGTGCAGAGTAGAGCGGAAGAATGACTTCTGGTGTCTTGCTCACAACACACCTGTTAATGCATCTGTGACGGGGAAGGCGCCTTGCCCGTGCTACCCCGCACTGAACCGGAGACCGGGACAGAGAGTGGGCCCCCGGGAAGGCAGGCGGATGGGAGAGGTCCGGCCGCGGGGAACCCGGAAGCCAGGGTAAGAGGAGGGACGGCCAGCAGCCAAGAGGACGGTCCGGCGCGGCCGGATGATGTCATAGAAAGCACCGAGCGGGACACACAGAAGGGTGGGGCCCCGGATGCCGGGGGTAGGCCCGCCCAGGTGGTGGTGGGGCGGGAGATTCAAAAGGGCGAGAGCCCAAGCCAAGAGGGGGGCTCTAGGAGGTGGAAGGAGGCCAGACCCCTGCCAGGAGAGCGGAGCATGAGAGAACCCCTGCACACGGACCCCCGCCAGAGGAAGGGACTCAGGGTGAGTCTATCCCCCAGCTGGGGAATCCACGGGGATTGAGCCGGGAAGAAGAGACCCAGGGCGGGGCCGTGGACCCCGCGAGTGGAGGGTTTGGGGCACCCGACCCCCTGCGCTGTCAGGAGACAGACGTCCCTGTCTTAGGGCCCTGGGTCGGGGCTCGGAGTGTGGGAGGGCACGAGCCCCCTTCTCGGCCCCCTCAGGCCCGTTAGAGTCCGGGGGTGCCGGAGCTTTAAGCCTCGGACCACGGTCAGGCGGTCAGTCACAAGACGAGTACGCCCCTAGCGGGACGTGGGCTCACCCGAACTCGGGGTGACCCCAGGGGACATGGTAACAGCATCCCAGAATCATGTTTCCTTTTTTTGCAACAGATTCACACTGCTGACTCATATTAAGCTTGTGGTCCACTATGACCCCTAGATCCCTTTCTGCCGTGCTCCTTCCTAGACAGTCGCTTCCCATTCTGTATGTGTGAAACTGATTGTTCCTTCCTAAGTGGAGCACATTTCATTTGTCTTTATTAAACTTCATCCTGTTTATCTCAGACCATATCTCCAATTTGTCCAGATCATTTTAAGTTATGACTCTATCCTCCAGAGCAGTCACAACCCCTCCCAGCTTGGTATCATCTGCAAACTTAAGAAGCGTACTTTCTACGCCAATATCTAAATCATTGATGAAGATATTGAACAGAGCCGGTCCTAAAACAGACCCTTGCGGAACCCCACTTGTTATATCTTTCCAGCAGGATTTAGAACCATTAATAACTACTCTCTGAATACGGTTATCCAGCCAGTTATGCACCCAACTTATAGTAGCCCCATCGAAGTTGTATTTGCCTAGTTTATTGATAAGAATATCATGCGAGACCGTATCAAATGCCTTACTAACGTCTAGGTATACC